TCGAGAGGAAGTTGAGAGGTGTATTCGATGATCTGAATAAGAAATGGCTCGCGCAGGTTAAGCTTCACGCGCTGAAGAAAACTTCCAAACAATCCGCTGATGAATATTTCGCCGAGTTTGATCAACTCGCAACAGTCGCAGGCTTCAACGACGAAGCCTTGCTTGATATACTCCATCAAAACCTTGACAAGCCCACATTTGATGCAATTGTGGCTGCTCCGCAGGTTGATAGAGAGTTGATGGCATGGAAGGACTATGCGAAGAAGTATGATAGGAATAAGAGAGTGAATGAAAGGAGTGATGGAGGAGAATTTGCGAGTGGAAGGAGGTTTGGTGAAGGAAGAGGAGGACCGGGTTGGTTTCGGCCACAAGGAGGTATAGGACGAGGATCTCCCCATACAGGTACCACTGGAACGAGTGGCACCACTACGGACACTGGGAGTCACGTGGGCACAGGCACCGGGGGCACCAACACGGCGGGGGGCTGGCACACTTTTCCTGGACGAGGGGAGCCCATGGATCTTGACCGACAGCGTGGACGAGCTACCTCTACCCAGCTCAAATGCTACAACTGTGGAGAGACGGGGCACATTGCTCATGGTTGTCCTAAGCCACGAGGATGGAATACAATGAGGGCAGTTTTCAAGGGATTGACTGAAGAACAAAAGGGAGAAGTAGCGGAGATCTTTAATTTACGAGAGAAGTCTGGAGAGAAGCAAGAGGATTTTTGAAGATGCCGAGAGAGAAGGGTGCCAACTCACCGGCGGATTGTACGATAAGTGCTGAATCAGTCAATGAAACTTGTGATTTGGACTCCCAAGCACCCACTTCTATAGATCAACCAAAGAGTAAACTACAAAAGAAAAATCAGCGGAGAAAGGAGCGAAAACAGAATGATAAAAAAGAGGAAGCTAGTAAAAGACAGCTGGAGGATGACGAGAAGGTGAAAAAGGGTTCCTTGCTATGGACCATGGAGATGCTTCGTTCTGATGATGAAAAGGCGTTGAAGACGTTACGTCATTGGACCAATCGTCAGCGCATCTCAGAGGTTGATATTGACCTCCTACTCCAGCTTCAACAGCTCACACCAATTCAACAAAAGGAGGTTCTCCGAGAGTTAAAACGTCCAAAAACCTGGATCCAGTCAAAGTGAAGGGTGTACAGGAATGGCCTCGACCTACTATGAAACGCGAACTCCAGCAATTTTTAGGATTTGCCAACTACTATCGCCGTTTCATTCAAGGTTTCGCTCATATCGCTCATCCTCTTCACCGCTTAACTGGTAATGAACAATGGCATTGGGGAATAGACGAAGAAAAGGCATTCCAAGGCCTGAAAACTGCTATCACCACGGCACCCGTACTTATCCTACCCAAAGACGATGCCCCATTTCGTGTCGAAGCTGATAGTTCCGACTATGCTACAGGAGCAGTACTCTCCCAACTCCAATCCGATAATCATTGGCACCCTGTCGCATTCCTTTCGCGTGCACTATCTGATGTCGAGCGCAATTATGACATCCATGACAAGGAACTGCTCGCTATTATGCGGGCTCTTGCTGAATGGCGACATTATTTGATGGGTGCGCAACAAACCATCGAAATTGTCACTGACCACAAGAATTTGGAGTATTTTACTTTGGCAAAGAAACTAAACCGTCGTCAAGCACATTGGGCCTTGGAACTCGCAGAGTATGACTTCCGACTTACCCATAAGCCGGGAAAATCCCATGGGAAGCCTGATGCCCTCTCGAGACGAGCAGACCATGGATGGGGGGAGGAAGATAACGAAGATCGAGTTTTATTGAAAGAGGAATGGTTCCGAGCAGTAACAATGGAGATAGAGATGGAGGGTGATGAAATCTTGTCGAAGATTCGCACATCGAAGAGGGTTGAGAGGTTTGTAAGAGAAGCAATAAAAAAGGTGAGAGAGGCTGGAAGGAACAGAACGGATTGAGGTTGTGGAAGAATCATATTTATGTGCCGAATGAACAATCCCTCCAAGATCAGATCATCCACTTTCACCATGACCTGCCTGTATCCGGTCATCCAGGGCGCTACAAAACGGCAGAGTTAATCTTGCAGACATATTGGTGGCCACAAATTCATGCGGATGTAACTGTTAAGACCGTACTCAAGTAGTATCGGATCCGAAGGGCTTCGGCCTCAGCTCGTGCGCTGTGCCCCTTTCCCGAGTCTTGCCCCTTATTTCAGAGAGCTAAAGTATCGCGTCTAGTGAAACGGATAAGTATTGCAATGGATCCGTTAAGACTTCCGGATATCGAACGTATAGAGTAACGGCCAATCCGGATCGGATCCGGACTAGAAACTAACGGGTGAGGACTGTCCGAAGACAGAGGCGGATATGTAGACTATAGGAATCTATCCTAAGTCTCGGAGTAGACAAGAGTAGCGTACTCAAGTCCGGATGGATAACAGAGGGACTCAGAGTCCAGACGGAATGAGTGCAATCTAAGATGATATTCGAACTGATCTACTACAGCGCATATACAAAGGTTTATATACTACGGATAGCTAACGGAATGATCAATAAGCAAAGGTGCGAGGCTATGTACGAAAGTATAAGCAAAGTCTAAGTGGAGCGTATTGGTAAGTTGGATGGATCACGAATCATGAACCGGGAATGAAGTACAAGTGAAAGCGGATTCGTAAGTGTAGCGGATCAGTAAGCATAGCGGATCAGTAAGCAAAGCGGAAGTAAAGGATAACCGGTATACCGGTGTACAGGAATACCGAAAGGAGATGAACGATAGTTAGAGTTATATGAACAGGAAATGAAATAAGAATCAAAGCGGATCTGTGGACCGGACGATGGATATGTTCATCGGATCTGGATCGGATCTGTAACCGGATATATGGTATATGACAGTAACGCGTTATGTGAGTGGCTGCGAGAAATGTCAACGTACTAAGACCTTTCCCGCAAAGCCATTCGGATTACTCGCACCTAATCCAGTGCCAGAGCATAACTGGCAGTTCGTATCAGTGGATCTCATAACTCAACTTCCCCAAAGCAAGGGAAATGACGCCATCCTCGTTGTTGTGGACCGACTGTCCAAGATGATACGTCTCGCGCCGACAAATGGAGAGTTGACTTCTGAAGGTCTTGCACGTTTGTACCGAGACCGGGTATGGCAGGATTTCGGTGTTCTTGAACGCGTCATCAGCGATCGCGGCTCTCAGTTCGTGTCTAGCTTTATGCACGACCTCAATCAGTTGCTCGGGATCCAAACCAATCTATCCACAGCATATCATCCACAAACAGATGGTCAGACCGAACGGATAAACCAAGAAATCGAGCAATATCTTCGTTTATTCACCAATTACCGTCAGAATGACTGGGCAGAGTGGTTACCCCTCGCCCAATTTAACTATAATGACAAAGTGCAAACCTCCACTGGATATTCCCCCTTCTTCCTAAACTACGGTCATCATCCTCGCAAAGGAATTGAACCCCGCTCTAGTGTGAGGGCGGAAAGCGCGGACGTCTTTGCTTCGCGAATGCATCATCTTGCGCAGGAAGCCACTTGTTACAGTCAAGTACGCCCCTATTCATTTTCCTCTTCTTACATCACTGTATTACATCACGATCGCATCTTGCCGTTGCTAGGTGATCTATTCTTGTTATCTCTGACTCGTCTTATCTCTGACTCGTCCTATCTCTGACTCGTCTTATCTCTGACTCATCATATGACCCCATCGTACCGACCCTAAAGTCGTTACCATTCACTATATAAACTCGTCCTGTACTATGTAGTTCTTTACTTTAATCTTACTAGGTTTTACCTGGAACTTCCTTCGCTTAATACCTCCAATCTTAAGTCGTATTGAACGTGATTCAAGTCGAGGACACTCTCCTAGACTTGTCTTAGTGAAACCACTGAACTTCGGTATACACCGAAGTCTTGAAATGACCTTGGCCGATTACTCTTATCGAGTAGCCATACGTCAGAACCCACCTAGTTCGTAACACCACTAGCACCTTGACAAAAGCAGCGAATGACATGAAATGTTATTATGATGAACACCGTCGTGAGGCTCCTGAATATCAGCCAGGAGATTTAGTTTACTTGGAGGCCACCAACCTTAAATCTGACCGCCCTTCGAAGAAGCTCGATGATCGTCGTTTTGGTCCTTTCAAAATCATTCAGAAGGTTGGAGAGCGAGCCTACAAACTGGATTTACCTCGCACTTGGAAGCGGATCCATCCAGTGTTCCACACTGTTCTTCTTCGTCCCTACACACCACCAACTTCCCCATTGCAACAATCACCGCCGCCGCCACCACCAGTAGATCTCGGAGGAACCCCAGAATATGAAGTTGAGAATATATTGGATAGTCGAGAGAGACGTGGAAGAAGAGAATATTTGGTAAAATGGAGAGGACAACCAAGAGAAGAGAACACTTGGGAGCCGGAGCAAAATTTGAAGAATGAGTACGGAACCAATGAGGCGTTCAAAACTTTCCTGGCACGTGAACGAGAACGCCTCAAAATTCATATACCACCTCGGGGAGAATGGAGATATGCGATGCCGAATCGAGGAGTGTACGATTGGAGGATAGGGACATTTAGAGAGATCGTCGATGAGGACATCGACCTTGGGAGAGGGTAATGTGATGAAAAGGCGTAGCCCAAGGGCTAGCGGGCCTTCAATTTGGTTATGACGCGCGCCACCGAGAGTCTCGTTCCTTGTTTTCGACCTTGTCTATCTTACCATCGCAGTTCTGTAATAACAATATTATCCTATTCTCCTCCTCGGATCTTTATCTGAGCCCCAACAGCAGACTTAGGGTGTTGCTGACAGATTCACGCAAATAGGTCCTTCAATGATACTCTGTACGACGTTCAGCCTACTTATGTTTTCATCTGCCTGATTCCAAGGCTCCTACACGACCTGCGAGCTCCTACTATCTGTCGCAGACGCACGCATTGTCTTTCGCAACATATCCGAAGATTCCGAACTCACTGTGCTATCTGACATGCTCGTCTCAAAGCTCGAGACAGCGATCGAAGATGGATGCAAGGGTGTGGGCGAGGTTTTCCTGTGGTGAGTCTGTCCCTCTCAATATTAAGCGGGACTTCACACTGATGCTCAACTAGGGATTGGCACGGGTAGGGAGCTTGCCTGTACTCATTTCGGCTCGTGTATGTTCGTTCTGGCTCGTTCTGGTCTGTTCTGGCTTGTCTGCACTCATTCCAGCTTGTATGTATTCGTTCTGACTTGTCTGCACTTGCTCTGACTTGCATATACTCATTTTAGCTTGCCTGCACTCATTTCGGCTTGTGTATGTTCGTTCTGGCTCGTTCTGGTCTGTTCTGGCTTGTCTGCACTCGCTCTGACTTACTCAGGTTCATTGTAGCTTGCATACACTCATTCCGGCTCTTTTTGGTTCGTTCTGACTTGTCTGCATTTGTTCCGGCTTGTCTGCACTTGCTCATTCACGCTTGTTTGTTGCGCTTGTTTGTTGCACTGGTTCCTTGTGCTCATTTGCACGCACTCGTTTTTGTTTGTACTCATTTGTGCTTGTTCGTCGTGCTTGTTCTGCGTGCTCATTTGCACTTGCAATTGGTAATGTAGATTCGTTTTTTTTCAATGTTTTTGTATCTAATAAGTTTCTTATCTATATATGGTACCTGCGGGTGAACCCGCATGGGTGTGGGTGCGGGTCTGAGTTTGTCATACCCGCTCTGACAGGTACGGGTTCTCGCCAGGTACGGGTGCGGGTATGGCCTCTGATACCCGTGCTAATCCCTATGCTCAACATCCCACAAAGTACTGCTTTTTGTGCCCCCATACACGACCTACATCACTGCATACCCTCGCGCACCCGCACCTCGATGTCCTCAGCTCGCCGCTGCAGCTCACGCTCCAATTCTCACGGTGGCTCAAGGAGAGAAAAGAACTCGTCAAGGCACATACACATGCATGGGACCTACGCTGCAGTACGTCCTTACGTTTCATCGTCTACTTTACATCACTGACACAACACCAGAACTGAATGGCAATGACATACCTGACGAACTCCCTTCCGAACTTATCCCTCCCTCCTCCCAAGATCTCAATACTTCCTAAAGGATATTCTGAAGAACGATACACGTGCCCGATCTCCATCGGGTCTCGACACTCCCGTTTCACGTCTCAAGGAACGCTCTTTCAATTCCACCAGGTGCTGGTGGCCGACAAGATGCCACAGTCTACAAGCACACCAACACAGAGCCTCCTGGCGGGTTCTACCAGCCCCACAGCAAGCACACCGACCGAGTAATAGATGACGCAGGTCTGGGGGCAGAGGATGGGGAGGATGATGATGATGATGACGACGACGACGACGGTTATGCCGAGCTTTGAAAGTAGTCATTTGAAACATATCACTGACACCCTCTGCCCTTGCATGCGGTCAAAAACATTTCACTCCCATTATAAGGTGTATCTCAGGCTGGCAGAGTCATGCAAATGGCTCAAACAATTTCACACTGAATAAATGCACATACAATGTGCGTGCCAGGCTGGCATAGTCATGCAAATACCTAGAATTATTTCACACCGAATTAATGTGCATACAATGTGTGTATCAGGTTGGCATCAAGATAGAATCAGTAAAATTCCATATTTGATTTTGTCACTTTTGTTGATGTAATTACAGATGACCGTCGACCATCAGATCTTGAAGATGCGGCTACAAATGATTGGCTCAAACTGGTTTGGGTTGGATTTTGTGGGAGCTCGATTGACGTCCGAGTCGATGAGTGCTTGAAGTCGTTCGTATATCGCGAAACCTCTGGTATTCGGATCAACCTTTCACACTTACGACCATGTCCGACTGGGCGAAATTGGCGAGCAGTGTTTTCTCCCGAGCGTCCGACGCTTTGACAGAAGCCAAACAACGAGTGTAGGCTATTCGCTCCTTGATTCCTAGCCTTTTACTGATGCAGTACAATCTATACACATACTTCGGCAGTCAAGCCATTTCTCAGGATGATCTAGACCCGCAGAACATTGACTGGTCTAAAGTATCGAGCAATGTTCTCTCCCGTGCGTCTGACGTTCTGACAGAGGCCAAACAGCTCGTGTGTGTTTTCTGCCTCGTAATCACTACACCTTTGCTGACGCGGTCTAACACGCAGCAATCAGGCCGTGTCTCAAAGAGATATAGACCTACAAGACGTTGCCTGGTCCAGATTTCCAGCCAGTGTTATGTATCGCGCGTCCGATGCTCTGACAGATACCAAACAACTGGTGTATGTGATCCGTTCCTTGATTGTTATGCCCTTGTTGATGCGGTTTGGTACGCCGCAGACGATCTAACGGGAATCTAGACATATTTCGCAACCACTGGACCAAATTGGGGGGCAGTATTCCCTCCAGCGGTTTGTTCGCTTTGACAGAGGTCAATAACTGGTGTAGGTGTCATTCAGCTCTTAATCGCGATGCTGTTGGATTGACACATACTTTTCAGCAATCAGGCGTCCATATAAATCAGCTGGAGCCTTGCTACTCATCTCTGTGTTTGAAAATCCTATGATGCTTTTGACATTATTGCAGCTTATGGGAATTATAATATCCTTGTGTTTTTTCCTTGTGCGGTGGATTATCTGGCTTCTTGGCTTCAGGAGTCGAGGAGTCGCAAAAGGTACAAAAGCACAGCGCTTTTCACTTTCTAACTAAACATGCCATACAGATTCGTTTGCATCCCAATATCAGTCCCGTCACCACAGTGGTAATGTGCCACGAAGCTCTGGATTCGCGAAACTCCAATCATATGGGGCCACCATGCCGACGGCCACCTCAACGCTTGTCTCATTGTTGTCGTGCGCTGGAGCTGCCATTGTCTTGGGCCGGGAGTGGGGATGGTGGCTCCAATGAGGTGACTGGCATCGTATTGTATCGAATGCAGTTGAAATGAGACCGTCTTGTTGAGGTATGCCCGTAACTGGTCTCAAAAGAATGACAAAGTTTGTGTTGATTTTGTGAGAACTTGATGGATATCGGTGCCAGTTGCTCGTGACTGATGCATAAAGTACATAGGAGTGCAGGTGTTGGCTAGGGCTGTGGTTTCGATCCTTCATACAGGTCTGCAGCCATATCCCAGGAATGTCTAGGTCTGCCTAACGTGGACCGGTAGAAATTGCCAGGCGCTGCTTTCTTGTATTCTGACAGTCACAGGAGCCAGACGGGTATTTACAGGTGATTCGAATCTTGATTACACTTTTTGTTGATAGGCTTAATTTTCTAAAATTAGGCACTCGTGGTGCTTTGCGTAGCGCAATATTTAATGTTATCGAGGTCTTCATGCACCAGATCGTGCGATTGTTCGGATAAATGCTGCAATGCGCAAGAAAGTCCTCGCTTGCCTGCTACTGGGTATATGCGTGCTATCATAAGCCCCTAAGCCACGTAGCGTTTTATGAAGAAACTGCGCGCGTTATTAAAGTGAGTGAACGCCTACCGATGATAGCTAGCTCAAACTAACCAGTCATTTTGAGGTCCGTTTATCTGTATTTCCATCAGACTCACAACGCCTGCCAGACCGTGCTACTTACGCGATGAACATCCGAACCAGGAAACCAGGAGACTGTGCAGTTGGGTGAGGGATTAAGCTTGCGAGTGACCAGGCCGAAGAGCCAATGATACTACGTATATATATGACCTTTGTCGAGAGAAATTAGTCAGTGACAACGCAGGGTTGGTTCATGTGGAAACGTGATCCATGGGCGCTCGGCGCTTACTATATATCGCTTTATAAACAAATTTGTCCAGTTGGCTTTGTCCATCAAACGTACACGCATACAGCCATATGGCCCAGCAAGTTAATAACTGGTGTAGGTCATTTGTTTCTTCTTCACGACGTTGTTTATAACTAATTAAACACTCTAGCAATCAGGCATCCATATGTCGCGGCTGGAGCTTTGATATGCATCTCTGCCAATCCTGATATCTTACTCACGCCACTACGAATCTGTTTGTATACCTTCGGTTTCAGCGGACATGGCATATAGCGAAAGGTACATTCCAATCAATTAACTACAGGTGTCTCATGACCCTAAACACGAATATGATAGATTCATCATCCAGGGTCGCTGAATATTACAATGACTTGGAAGCGATGAGATTAGCGGGCGATGACTTGTCAGTGGAAGCGCTGAAATTAATCAAGGATGACTTGGAAGTGCTGAGATTAGCGGACGCTGATGACGAGAATAGAGATTTTGAAGTAAGATCGATGCTTGCGCATGGTGTCTCCTGGCTTTCAGCTATTGGAGCTGTGTTTGTCTTGGGCAGGACGGGGTTGGTGGAATTGATGGGGTTGCTGGACAATGTTGATAACGTGTAGGTTTGATCTGGAGGGAGTGGTAGTCAGTACCAGAGACACGAAATATCATAGAGCCATATCAACGAAACTAAATGACGTGTTCATATACTCAGCAAAACGTACGCTTCCTCTTAGGATTGTGCATGACCCGTCATACTATCGAGTGTCAGAAGTATCGCCACCGGCCAGTGTTGAGTTGACGACAGAGTAAGTTTGTAACTATAATGAACCACCTTTTGAAAAATTCTGTTTCGCTGAGCCAACTAGTATATGTGTGGAGTTGGTTGCTGCGGGCTGCTGACTGAGCCTGACTCTGAATTGGTCACGCGGTTGTGAAATTGTGAATATCTTCCCGCCCTCGAGCTGCATGTAAGCTATGTACATGCCAAACGTGTGGCTTCGACGTATGCATTAAAATTTAGGATAGCATATGACTTCGTGAGTCTGACAAATTCGGATTTGGTTTCGTGGGAGTTCAACAATTGATGGTCCAGGCCTAGTGTCGATAATCATGAGCGCTTGGTTGCTCCTGCAAAGAATCATAAAGCCTGTGGTATTGAACTTTCACGCCTACAGGTCCAACCATGCCCAAGGAAGATAAAGACCTGCTCGACTGGTCGAAATTGCCGGGTACCGTTCTTTCCAGTGCTTCTCATGCTCTGGCATTCCCATTCGATGATTCTTAATCAGAGTTTGAAATGATTGATTGTCGATTGTCAATATCTTCGATGCTAATGGTAAATCATACATACCCGTGATGCTGATAACCAGAGGAAATTAAAGGCAACCTCGCAACCATAAGATCTCAGTTACGAACATTCCAGGGAACAGAAGCTCAACATGTCACTGGGTGAAATACTACATATTTGGGCGACGACTTGATAAAAATTGGAGGGCATGGCCAATTAGGTGAGTCAGGTGAGCTGCATATGCCGTCTTCCTATCTGCCATGTGGACCCCTGAAACAACCACGATCAGGCTCGTTGACTGATGTGGAAAGTTGCGGTGACACGACTTGGACGCATGTGAGCTCATTCGTTCAGATCATCAAGTAAGGTACTTGTGGTAATAGCCTCATGTTCCGGGCGTCTAGTGAGATGTTAATCCTATAAAGCAGGTTTAAAATGCCCCATCGCACGCACCTCTGCAACTTCGAGTAAGACGCCATCCCCCACACACACACCAAGTCCATCTTAACTGTGCTGCAGTTCCACTAAAATGACGGCCCTCATTCCAAACATCACACCCATTCGAACATTCGAAGATCACAGGGATCGCGTGGTCGCAGTCGCAGCCCTCCGCGACGAACGCATGGTCACGGGATCGTATGACGGGATACTTCGTCTGTGGGACTTGAAAACAGGTGTAATGTTGAAGAAGATGGAGGGACATCGTAGTCGGGTGCGGGCATTGGCGGTATCGCGAGATGGGTATTGGATAGCAAGCGGTGATGAGAACGGAAAGCTCATCGTCTGGGGTAGAGCTAGTGAACCAAACTACTGGGAACTACACTATAGGCAACCGTCGACCAATGAAGCCCACGACGGCTGGATATTTTCGCTTGACTTTTCACAGGATTCCCAGGCGCTGGCCAGTGGATCATCCGACACTACCGTGAAGCTATGGTGCACATCATCGTGGCAGGTCAGACATTCACTCAGTTGCGGTGGAAATGTCCGCTGCATTCGGTATTCGCCGCATGGAACACTTCTTGCGATTGCAACGGACCACGATGTCCAAATTTACCAGAATTACTGCAACACATATCACTACAATTACCATTCCGATTACAATCCCAGAGGTCCATTCCCCACTCAGTTGAGGACAACGATTGGTGGAGGATTCAACTACTCGCTCGTGTGGACGCCCGATGGCTCACGGCTTCTCTCGGGGGGTAACCGGGCTGATCCCACCATACGAGAGTGGGATACATCGACCTGGAAGCAGGTCAGGGATCCCTGGGGGGGCCATTCCAAGAATATCCACGCCATTTGTCTCAACTCTAGCGGCACTCACCTTGCCTCCGCATCTCATGACAACCGAGTCCGCCTCTGGCGACTCTCAGATCGACGAAACATTGCCACATTCAAGCACTCCAAGGAGGTGAACTGCGTCACATTCTCCGTGGATGACAAGCACATCCTCAGTGGAGGTGTGGATAAAAAGATCTCAGAGTGGCCAGCATCCGAGGACGCTTTGCCAGAGGATGATCCAAAGGATGGCCTCATGAAGGAGCAGGCGGTGCACCAGGTAAGTTTGTTTTCATTTTCCCTCCCATTCATCGTCTAAGCATCTTTTTTATGCCAAGGCTCAAGCCTACTCTGATTTCAAGGTATGTTCCTACCTTTGACTTTTATAACGCAATGCGAACATGACTTGCGCAGGTCCTCGCTATGAGCTCGACAGTCCGCGACGCGTGCATAGTCGGGGACTGGCCTACCGCTGAAAAGGTACTAAATCTAGATATCGAGGCTCACCCCAACGATCACACCGCTTATACCAATCGCGCATTTGTTATGACGCGAAAATGCCGCTGGGACCAAGCGCTTCAAGATGCATTTCAGGTGAGACTGATCGACCATCATGACCTCCTCTCACAAGTTAATTTTCATGATGGCATAGTCCATCAGCATTCAGCCATCGTTGGCAGGCCATATCTCCAAGGGCATTGCCCTCTGCGGGAAAAAGCATGTTCTGGCTGCGAGGATATCATTTGATCTCGCATCCATCTTCACGAACGGAGATTTAAAGACCGATCACTTCCTTTTCTTGATCAAGGCACGTAATATTTTTCTAACATACTCTGTGCTTCATTACGGTTTTTAGGCCATTGCGTTGTTCAACGCAGATGAACATCAAGAGGCAATACTTCGCATTGGAGAGCTAGCTGCGTGTCCCAATGTCGATCCCGTTGCTTGTCGTATCGTGGAAGTGAGTACCATATGCTCGATCATACTAGGTCCATGTGCTGTCATTGATTTCTCTTACCCTTCGTACACCAGGCCTACCTACGCGTCCAACTGGGAAATATTGCCTTGAATGGTGCGCGCCACGATGAAGCTGTCGAACACTTCACTGCCGCCGTCAATGCTAGTACTTTCTTTTACAAATTGCCGATTCATTTGATGTACGACGAATTTGTCGCGGTACGCTGATGTGACACAACCGAAAATTGTTTCGTGCTCAACCGCGTGTTTTCCGCAGCTCTTTGGCTGGGACCTCAAGTCCTTGTGGCACACCGCGAACCAGCAACAGTGTTATGCACTGTTTCGAGCAGGTAGTTTTGGAGCAGCCATTGAATCATATCAGTCTATCATGGATAAGACTGATGATGATATGAAGGCCGGCTTACGTGCTGGACTCGCTGGTAAGTATTTCAGTAATGTCTCCCCGTCTCTCCACCTATAATCACCAACTGCACTTCACTCAGCTCTCAAGTAAAATCGAAATGCGCTCTACGCTTCCCATGAAGATGATGTGCTCGTAGCGAGCGGTTACCCATATAGTTTGAAATACAGAAATCCTTGAGTAGTCTTCATTTGTACCTTGACGGTAGCTTGCATCACTCAAATAGCCCTTGATGCTTGTGTCATAATATACTTGCCCCCTTGAACATGTTTACCCTATTTCCGAGTCTCTTTGCTCTCACTTGAAGAAACTACTTCTGGACATCGTCTCGCGTGTCTGTCTTGACATTTCAGGCCGTGAACTAAGCGCGATCATCATGT